GATAATGGCACAATAACAAAATTGCTTTTGAGTGTAAATCTTATTGATGTTTTAGTTTGAAAATATGTATTGGGCATTTTCATGAGCATGTGCAAAGCTGAAGAGACTGTAATAACTCACAATACACATCAGAAACTTTAGTAAATACTGTAAATAAACTGTCATAAAAATGAAAGTGTTTGTGTGACAGCATTGTATTTGTGATTTTTAGAATTGTTTTTCCAGATTTGACAGCGCTGTTGTGAGAATTTGGAATATTAACTGTAAAAATTTCAACTGATTTTGTTCACTACCAGCAAGATAATTACATTACATTGAACTCTACTGCTCTCCTTCATTTGAACAAACCTGCAAAGAAGGTCATGAGCAGTGCCACCCAGCCTAGTATGTAGGACCAAGAGAAGCGCCAGTCACCAAAGCGCTTGCCCAGGAAGTTCACCGTCACCCCGGTGTAAATTGCCATTGCAAGCAGAACAAAGAGAGCTGGCATGGTGCACAGAGAGTGAAACATATTAAAATGAATATCTATAATAGTAAAGGTCATCTCACTTGGAAGTCACCTGGTGCACCCACAGAGTTTCTATTGTAGGCCTTGCGAACTTTGTCTGATATTTACATAAATGCAAATTCACTTAATAGTACATCATTTATGGCAGATGTGATGTAAAAAAAATCAGTACAATATTATCTGGTTACTGTATTCATAACTTACTTGAAACAAAGAACATGATCCCAGCAGCAAATGAGCGGTTGAACCTCTCAAAGGCTGAGAAGTGGGCAAAGGAGAGGATTCCTGCAATGATGCCAGCAAAGCATGACATGGCAGAGAGGATCATGAAAGCACGAGTGGCATTCCAATAAGCTGAGAGGAGTAAAACAAGTGAGAGAACATGTTATAAACATAAATGAAAAAATATAATGTTATTTGATATGAACAGGTTCATACTAAAAAGCACTCAATGTAATTTGAAATCTTGCTGGAAATGAATCTATTTCCTAATATTTCTACTGAACTGCACTGCAGGAGTCACACAGCAGCAATCATTAACTCTGCCATGCAGTTTGAAGGCAGACAATCCTTAAACAGTGAAGGTTTTTAAGGGAAATGTGTAGTCTACTGTCTTCAAATGGTCAAGTTGCACAAGAAGCGCATTTTGCGGGATTTAAAGTTTCCATTTAATTCAGAGGAACTTTTCTAAATTTTACATCACAACTGTTTATCTGGTGAAATGAGCAGTTCCCGTTTGATGCAACACTATAACTTCCCACAACTATACTGAGTAGAGAAGCATATTTCCACCTAAGGTGCAAAATTTAGATGATTTAGAAATTTGTATATTTTTGTACCAAAATCTCTTATTTCTCTCTCGGAGAAACAGATCTTTTAAATGAGAACTTTTTATACTAAATCACATAGTGTTGTATCACTTTTACTTAAATAAAAGAGAGGGATCCCTCCTCTGTTCCTGAGGTTTCTTCCCTCCATGTTTTCCTGTTAAAGCAGTGGTTCTCAAACTGGGTGGCATAGTGCCACTGCAGGAGGGGCATGGATGTTGAGCAGACCTAAAGTTGAATGAATGTGATTTATGTGGTGGTATAAAAAAGGGCTCTGATGCAAGTAGGGTTATTTTGCTAACCTGAATCTTTTGTTTTATTTCAATCGCCCCCATTGTTAATGATTGATAAAATGAAATCCACTTTTTGTAGAGTCTGGGGTGTGAACATTTTTCACGCAAATAGTATCACTGCTGTTTGTTATTGAGTTTTTTTTAATGACGTTCTTATTCCACATATTTGTGAGTTGTGTACAAACAGAGTGACAGAGAGGCACAGACACAGACAGGCAGGAGAGAAGATAATGGTTCTTTTAACTTCAACGCCCTCTTATCCGGGAAGATGTAAAAAGCTTAATTTATGAGGTTATTATAAAGATATAAACTCTAACGTTACATGTGATTAGAAAAGAGCAGAGGAGCAGAATCGCTTAGAAAGTAACCTGGCTGAGGGGGAAGAGGAGGTAAAATGCTGCCTCCCATTGTTTGGGGTATGTGGCCCGGAATTCCACGTTGTACCTTTAAGCAAGATTTTGAATGCATGACTTCACTTGGAGCATGAACACACACCTACCTCCTGGTAACTTTCTAGGTAATGTTAATTCTGCGGCGCATGCACTCGCTTTTTTTCCATCCTTCTATGATCTGCTCCTCTCATTACAGTTTGGCAGCAATGAAACAATGAATAGTCACATTTAACAATCTGCGACACAAAGACAATATAACTTAACGATACTTTATCAACTTAATGCAAATTTGCGTATGGAACTATGTCGATTTGCAGTCCCTTGAAATGAAACATTACTCTTGTCAGTCATGATCTTGACCATGATGACAACTATTTGGGAGAATGCCAGGTGCAATTAATCTGGCACAATCATTGGTCAAACTCGTCTTCTTTAGCTTTTCGGCAGGCAGTTCACTGCCGCCTCCAGCTGTTAGACTTGGGTACTGCACGTGCACAATTGAACTCAGTGTTGTCAGCAGCATTTTGGGTAGTTTAGAGTGACAAATTTTTAACAGGGTACTTTGATTTCAAAATAAGTATATGCTACACAAAATCCACAGAGGTTGGCAGGTCTGCAAGGTATCTCTGACACTTGAACATCATGTAGAAAATCCATGATATCAGAGAGGTTTGGTTACTTTAAAATAAGAGCATTTTTGTTTTTCTCTTTCTAGATGCCCCAGTAATCCTACCTGAGTCCTTCTGCCACCTGATGGGGGAAGTACTAAAGTGTGTCTGCCAAGCTGAGGCATCACCTAATGCCTCTATAGGCTGGACCATTGAAGGAAATGACACCTTTCCATCCTCCTTTAGCTTTGTCTCCAGAAATAAGAAAAATGTAGTCTCAGGGGAAATAAGCGGACCAACTAAAAGCCAGCCTAACATTTCTTGCACAGCCACGAACGCACTGGGCAGCAACACCAAACAGCTCTCTGTAGACATCTTGTCAAAAACATGTACGTTACTGTACACTTACGGTAATTTGTTATCCCAAGCTACATTCAAAAGCAGAACCATTCATCATATTTACTAATTAAGCTATTTTCCTTTTACAGTCTCTTTGCCCATGTGGTTGTCAGCATTAATGCTCCTGGGGACTGCTTTGTTGTTTGGTTGTGCAGTGTTCATTTACAGAAAATATTCAAGAGGCAGGTTGGTAGACTGAATTCCTTGTCATACAGAACGACTGTGCTGCTACCGCAGCTAAGATTAATCTTTTTATTGTTGTTATATTACCCATAGACCAACACCGGAGTTTGTGTGCAACACTAACATTATTTTAAGGTATGAAACCATGTTTATAGTTGACAATGATTTATTTCAAATTTGCTGAATTCAGATCACATTTTTGTGTCTTTTTTGAAGGTCACAAATTTTATTAGAGAATGTCCAACAGGAACAAGTATACAACAGTCCTCAAAGGTAAATCTCAAACTATTTTATTCTTAATTTCAGTGCAAACATTTGGCTTTATGTATTAATATAATAAGTATGTAGTGAGGAAAAGTGAGTTATTCATGACATACGAGTTGCCTATTTAGTTTTTTTCTCTGCCCTTAAACCTCAAGCATACAAAAGTCATAGAAGTCATAGTTTGTCAGAATGGTCTGTGTATTGATGTGCACAATGAAACACACCTAAATTAAAGGAGATATTGAAAGCATCTAATTGTCATGGGTTGGGGCGCTGAGTGCAGACTGGGGCGAGGACCCAAATGCAGACAATGGAAAGGCGAGGAGGTTGCAGTCCAAAAATGTTTATTAACTCAAAAAAGCTTACAAGGAGCTCGAGGCAAAGTCCAACAAAGGTAGAACACAAGGCAATCCAAAACACAGGGAATAATCCAGAACTAGGAAGACAAGGAACAGGCAGGAACACTCAACTTTAGACGCAAGGACGTGACAAAGACTGGAGAGACAAGCAGGCATAAATAAACACAGGGACTAACGAGCAGGGCGGGAGCAACACAGGTGAGCAGGATCAGGGCTAACAAGGCAGAGAGACAGCAGGGGGAAACAGAGAGAACACTAAACAAGCAGACATGGGCAGAGTGAATAACCAAGAAGACAGAAACACACAAGTTACAAAGAACCAGAACCTAAATGAGAACACAGAACTAGAACACAGAGTACAGAGGAGACCAAATCACAAAAATACAAACAAGGACCAGGAATGATTACCAAAACATGAACTAAGGACATGGAACTAAACTCAGACTCCCAAACAAGACACACAGACAGAATCACAACACTAATTGGATCCATCCCCCTCTCTCTTTTTCTTAGATCACAAGATGAAGACACACAATCAAGCCCATGCAGACCAGAGAGTAACCCTGAGGTGGACAGTCTTTGTGTTTATGACAATGATTTTGTGGAAGAAATGCGCAGACAGACCAGAGCTCAACCAAACCAGAACACCGAAGCAGCCCGCCAAAGAGACGGCGAAATACAGCCACTGGCAAAGGTGCAGCGATTGTGACAAATGCAAAGAATTATGTGGTTCACAACAGACCATCACTTATTACATGCATAAAACACCTGTAAAAATACTACACATGGATCAGAATAGAAGCCAGCAAAAACCAAATTCATCAAATCCAATCAGAAATGATCAGAAATCAGTAGTTTATGGCTTTTTGTAACTGGTGCCGTTGATGTTTCTGCCTCAACACACTGAGCGTAACTTTCAAGTCATTCGATTTTCTTTCTCCTTCTGCTTGTGTTGCTCAAGCATTGAGAAATATTAAAACCATACTTTTAACTTCCCACGGGGAGTTCCTTGCAACATAGATGACTATCAAAATTTCAGATCAGAGAATATCTGCTGCTGGTCTCACATAGTAAGGTCCTTACATTGCTTAAAAATGTATTGGTTAAAATAATTGATGTACACACTTTGTTTTTATACATTTCCTTCAGATTTGGTATGGCTAGTTGTATAGATATTTAGACTTGAAGTGTCATTTATACTGACAGGTTTTGTAAAAGAACTTGAATTACACACAGTAGCCAGTATGTCCATGTTTATTTCCTGTTGCAGTATTAACTGATTCTAATATCGCTGACAGGAAGGAAATATTCAAGATTTTCCCCGGCTACAGAAAACAGCTGTAGGCTAAAAGCTAGCCTATAGTGTAAATAGCAGCTAACCATAACACCATCCTGTTGCTGAAACCACAAATGTGAAATCTCAATTTGGTTTCTAGTAATGATGCCACACTGGACTGGAAATGTCTATTTTAAAAATAATTTAGAATCTGAAATGATGACTTATTTCCTGAGCTTGGGGTGTAGGTGTAATGTAAGATGACTGCAGGGTCATGGCTTGATTACATTCTGACCTAATGATCATGATCAGAGTTTATTGCAACACAGCTCTGATGGGAGGAGGTCTGTTATTAACACACTCAATACAAAACACGAGCTTCAGTTTTGCATTTTAGTTAATATTAACCCACTGATGTATGCTCATTTCTCAGTGTAGAATGAGTGGCAGTGTGTCACATAGGGCTTGATTGTGGCTCACTGTTTCCGGTTGATCCTGCCTAATCTTTGAACTCGCAAGTTATGTATTGGTTGTTTTGATGAAAGGCATCGTAAGGCAAACAACAGCAACAAGGAGCTTTTTTTTTTCTTTAAAGCCTGGACAATTTTGACAACATTGACTATTTAGGTAAGTAAATATGTTTATATATTTACAGATCCGTTTTGCTGTTGAAATTCCATGTCTGTTGTTTGGAATCCGAGCTCAAGAGCTGCCTTCGGCTTATTTGTTTTGGAATAGTAATGTGATCTGAGTCATGAAAAGCCATTTTGCTAATTAACTTTATCAGTTCTTCTACAAAATAGAAGGAGGCTGCAAACACAACTGAGTTATTAACAGTATCTACAAGATTGCTGAGCAAAACCTTAAAATGCTGATTTGACTTTTTTAAAATCAGTAATATCTTTGACCAGATACTTTTAAGGCATATTCACATACAGTACAGGACTTTAAGAGTATGTGGTTGTTCAAGCGTGTTTAATACTCCCTCATAATCTCCGATCATCATTAGGTGTCAGAAACGCACATCATGCATACTGACTTCACTGATTCGTCACCGTTGTCACTGGTATAAAACTATAAAATAATCTGTAATTTACAACCACCTGGTTATGTTATTTTGTAAATTTTGATTCCTCTTCCTTTGGTTTAGATCCGCAATGGAGTCAGTGGTGCAGAGTGAGCTCATTCTCGCAGTTTACATCATCTCTTTCCTGTTAGGCCTGCCAGCCAACCTGCTGGCTTTCTATGCCTTCTGTGTCAAGATCCATTCCAATCCCCTTCCAACAGATATCCTGCTACTCAATCTGACAGTCTCTGACCTGATCTTCTTGATCATCCTTCCTCTAAAGATGTATGAGGCAGCGTCAGGCATGAAATGGAATTTGCCCGAGTTCCTGTGCTCCATCACCGCCTTCACCTTCTTCTCCACGATCTACACCAGCTCCTTGCTGCTGATGGCAGTGAGTGTGGTTCGCTACATTGCAGTAGCTTTCCCGATCACGTATCATACGCTGTGCAGACCAGTGTACGCGATAGTTATCAGTGTTGTTATTTGGCTAATCTCAGCCGCACACTGCAGCATTACTTTCATTATCCAGCACCATCCATCCCTGTCCAGAAATGACACCACTTACTGCTATGAGAACTTCACAGAGACGCAGTTGAAGGTTCTGCTCCCAGTACGTTTGGAGTTTTTCTTTGTGCTCTGTCTTATTCCACTACTAATTTGTATTTACTGCTACTCACGCTGCATCTTAATCCTGTACAGCCGTGCCAGGATAACTCAAATGCAGAAGCAGAAGGCCATCGGCATGGCCTCGGGGACTTTAGCTGTGTTTCTCATTTGTGTGCTGCCATATAACATTTCTCATTTACTGGGTTACTTCCAGGGTAAAAGCCCACAATGGAGGTACTACACCTTGCTGCTTAGCACCTTCAACACCTGTATTGATCCCATCATCTTCTACTTTTCCTCCTCCTCTTTCCACTGCACTAGTCAAAAGTCAATTTTCAGGAAGCGTGGACACAATGTTTCAGATGCACAAAAGCAGACCACAAGCTCTAGCTAAGAGCAATATACACGCTGACTTTAATACAATATGTACATATCCAGCTTCAACATTATTATTGTACTTTATATTAAGGACATCAGAATGTGTAATGCAGAACAAGCGGCTTTGACAGTCCAGTTCATTTATAAAAAATTGTCTCTCATCCAGGTTTTGCTGTCTACTGGTTAACAAAATATCTTGTTAGAGGTGATCTATTCCTGCTCAAAGGGACTGAGCTGCTTCAATCTCAAACCATTGTAGATCATTTTATGACAAAACCACAATACATGTTTGGTGCAAATGCAAGATTCCAAATTTTATTATTTTACAGTAAATTATCTTGTTTTGAATGGGAATTGATATCCTTTGCACCCTTGACACATTATTTCCTGTTTACTTTAACGCGGGCCAGTCACTCTTCTGCACTCATGCATTCTGTAGGCACACATGTAGAATATACCTGCAAAACAAAACATAGGTTAGCTGTAAAGGCCTTTTCTATAGTACACAAACATATCAAGTAAGATAATGGCACAATAACAAAATTGCTTTTGAGTGTAAATCTTATTGATGTTTTAGTTTGAAAATATGTATTGGGCATTTTCATGAGCATGTGCAAAGCTGAAGAGACTGTAATAACTCACAATACACATCAGAAACTTTAGTAAATACTGTAAATAAACTGTCATAAAAATGAAAGTGTTTGTGTGACAGCATTGTATTTGTGATTTTTAGAATTGTTTTTCCAGATTTGACAGCGCTGTTGTGAGAATTTGGAATATTAACTGTAAAAATTTCAACTGATTTTGTTCACTACCAGCAAGATAATTACATTACATTGAACTCTACTGCTCTCCTTCATTTGAACAAACCTGCAAAGAAGGTCATGAGCAGTGCCACCCAGCCTAGTATGTAGGACCAAGAGAAGCGCCAGTCACCAAAGCGCTTGCCCAGGAAGTTCACCGTCACCCCGGTGTAAATTGCCATTGCAAGCAGAACAAAGAGAGCTGGCATGGTGGACAGAGAGTGAAACATATTAAAATGAATATCTATAATAGTAAAGGTCATCTCACTTGGAAGTCACCTGGTGCACCCACAGAGTTTCTATTGTAGGCCTTGCGAACTTTGTCTGATATTTACATGAAATGCAAATTCACTTAATAGTACATCATTTATGGCAGATGTGATGTAAAAAAAATCAGTACAATATTATCTGGTTACTGTATTCATAACTTACTTGAAACAAAGAACATGATCCCAGCAGCAAATGAGCGGTTGAACCTCTCAAAGGCTGAGAAGTGGGCAAAGGAGAGGATTCCTGCAATGATGCCAGCAAAGCATGACATGGCAGAGAGGATCATGAAAGCACGAGTGGCATTCCAATAAGCTGAGAGGAGTAAAACAAGTGAGAGAACATGTTATAAACATAAATGAAAAAATATAATGTTATTTGATATGAACAGGTTCATACCAAAAAGCATCAATGTAATTTGAAATCTTGCTGGAAATGAATCTATTTCCTAATATTTCTACTGAACTGCACTGCAGGAGTCACACAGCAGCAATCATTAACTCTGCCATGCAGTTTGAAGGCAGACAATCCTTAAACAGTGAAGGTTTTTAAGGGAAATGTGTAGTCTACTGTCTTCAAATGGTCAAGTTGCACAAGAAGCGCATTTTGTGGGATTTAAAGTTTCCATTTAATTCAGAGGAACTTTTCTAAATTTTACATCACAACTGTTTATCTGGTGAAATGAGCAGTTCCCGTTTGATGCAACACTATAACTTCCCACAACTATACTGAGTAGAGAAGCATATTTCCACCTAAGGTGCAAAATTTAGATGATTTAGAAATTTGTTTCTTGTTGTACCAAAATCTCTTATTTTCTCTCTCGGAGAAACAGATCTTTTAAATGAGAACTTTTTATACTAAATCACATAGAGTTGTATCACTTTTACTTAAATAAAAGAGAGGGATCCCTCCTCTGTTCCTGAGGTTTCTTCCCTCCATGTTTTCCTGTTAAAGCAGTGGTTCTCAAACTGGGTGGCATAGTGCCACTGCAGGAGGAGCATGGATGTTGAGCAGACCTAAAGTTGAATGAATGTGATTCATGTGGTGGTATAAAAAAGGGCTCTGATGCAAGTAGGGTTATTTTGCTAACCTGAATCTTTTGTTTTATTTCAATCGCCCCTATTGTTAATGATTGATAAAATGAAATCCACTTTTTCTGGAGTCTGGGGTGTGAACATTTTTCACCTTCTAAAGGGAGGCGTGACAAGAAAAGTTTGAGAACCACTGTGTTAAAGGGTTTTTTAGTGGGGGGTCGGGGACGGGGGGAGTATTTCCTCATTCAGATCGAGGGTCTGAAGGACAAAGGGTGTTGTATGCTGTACAGATTGTAAAGCCCCTTGAGGCTAATTGAAATGTGATGATGTGTAATGTTGGGCTATATAAATAAAATTGACTTGACTTCATGAACAAATACCTGCAAATACCTGACATTCCCATCAGTCTCCGCTGTACTTTGTGTTTAATACTAATTAGCAGATTGCAGCATGCACACATGCTTTAAATGGTAAACATGGTAAACATACCTGCTTAGCATCCACATGTTAGCATTGTCATTGTGAGCATGCTAGCATAATGACATTAGCATGTAGCTCAAAGCACCACAGTGCCTAAACACAGCCTCACAGAGTTGCTAGCATGGCTGTAGACTTATGTGAATGGTGTGAATAGATAACCATTGTTGCTATCGTTCTAGTCTGCCTGTATGCACTTCTCATCTTATGAAAGTCAGCTCAATAAATTCTTGCAACTGTATCTCTAGTTTGGACAGTCAGAATAATCACAGTTGTATTCATATATATATGAATACAACTAGACTCTTGTGAGAGTTACTGTGCCTCAGGAAGACACAAAGGACATCTTTAAGGGTCCAAAAGATAATGTCCCACTTACCAATGCTGTCTGTCTGCATGTAGCACTTGCCAGACATGCAGTACCTCCACAGGCCTTGATGGGCAAAGCTGCCAGACAGACGATACTGCATCCAGTAGTCTGTGGCTGTGGAGACCACCAACAAGATGTTCCCCACAATGGCACAAAATAGGCCCCCTCCCATGAAGCTGTACATCATGAGTGACACTATGAAATTGGGTAAGGCTTTATGTGCTGTGCAAAAAGAAAAAAGATGTGAGTCAATGGAACCTTTAGTAATGAAGTTAGTATTTTTTTATTGCAGGGTTTGTAGCTCTAGTTTTAGTTTTCAGCAGTAAATGGATTGAGGAGACAGGAATGGTCTGAAGGAGTGGATGCAGAGGCACAAAATATTGTACACATCTAGAAGCTGCCAATGCAGTTGGTCTGCTGTGATGTTGGCCAGCATCGCCACTGGTGAACAGAGGCTTATCTTTGAGCTATACATTTAGGGCCCCATGATTTAAGTATCTGATGAAGGGAAGATATTAATTTATTTCCTGCATACATTTACCCAGCAGGACTGGGACCTTAAACCAACATCCTTCCTGGCACACACCATCTTCTCTAACCACAACTTCACGTCATGGCAACAGTGTTGAATTTATACCCCGACATTTCCTCCAACAAAGGTGACTCATTTTGTAAACTATTTGTGAGTGGGCAAAGGCTCAGAAATATCTTATCAATTCAGTTTTTTTTGGCGTATATATATATACATATATATATAGCTGTAACAACAAAGCACATAACTTGTTATGAAAGCTGCTGACCTGGACAGAGTAATCCAACCACAATACAACTGTCTCATAGCAACACGTCTCTCGATTTTAACATTTTTTTAATACTCACTGCTGCAGTTAAACAAGCCATAAATAAATACATTTGCTAGTCTAACCAGTAAAACCAAAACGGAAATGGCCTAAGAACACCACAGTCAACTCACCCACAACACTGCTGTGAAAGATGGTGACCCCTGACATAAACGAAGCCTTGAATATGGCATACATTTTTGTGAATTAGTCTAACTCCTCAAAGATAACCCATATGCAGCCGCACAGACTGTAATGAGACATAATCTGCTTTTTTTAATGTATGAAAGTATGAAATAAATTTATGTGAACTAGCCAAAGAAATCAGCATTTCAAAGCAGAACATGTCAAACATGTCAATTGGGTAAAAAAAGCTTGAAGCTATTGGAGACAACACACACACTCTTTATTGAAGGGTCTGAGCACCACAGCTTTATCTGTACAAATGAATGGAATCAGATAAATCTTGAATCTCATGTTTGAAATCTGAGAAATGTTTCATGTATTGAATAAGAACAATCTATGGGTAATGGTGAAGGCCCTCTAGGCCTACCTGTGAGACATTCATTCACCTGACACGCATCCCATGATATGAATTCTACTTCATTATTTTCACTCCCAATTATTTCCATAAAAGTGGCATCAACGGTTAACAAAAACCTGACATCATCTTACCTGAATTCCTTAGGATAAATTAACCCTCAGGTATAGGCCTTTCCTCAGGGAAAGAGTGAGAAGAGTGCAAGCCAGGAGTGAGCAAAACGTCAAAGAGGAAGCTCTAGGCTGAATTCCAAAAGTTATCCCCCCACTTTTCTGTTGATGGAGGCAAAATCCTTTAAAACAATCAGCACAGAACAAATGCACTTGAGCTGGTGGGCCAAAAGCCATGTGACTCTTTCACACTGAACTACATGGGAGAATTTGGGGGTCAGGGAGATGGGGGAGGGTCTGGGATAGGAGGCTGCTACACCACAGTACTTGTCTGTTGTTCTACTAGGCATTCTGGAACGGTGGATGTGCAAAGGCTTGCA